ATGTGATATTTTTAATAAATGAGAAACATTTTCCATGATGTGAATGAAATTTTTAAGCAGATTGATAAGCCTATATTTATGTCTCATTCGTATACTTTAAAAAAAAAAAAAGTCCAATTTAAATTGTGAAATTAGTTTTAAATACTAAGGAGCCATCTTCTGTCTTGCAAAACTGCCAAGTCAGGCTGTTTCTCTTTAATTAAACATTTCCTTTGTTGTGGATATTATCCATAGGGGAAAAAAAACACCCCAGTTGGACTTACAGGAGAAACTGTTCCCTGACTCTGGTTGGAGGTTGGGGAGGGGGTGGGGTGGGCCAGAATGCAAAAATGGGTTCAACAAAACAACAACTTTTCCCTTGGAAAAGCAGTGCCTAAAAAATGGAGGCGTCATTAATGGTCTTTGATCAATTGGAAGCAATGGGAGCTGGGGAAAATTCCTGTGCAGCACCTGATTTGTGCAAAAAAAACCAACCCCAAAACCAAAAAGAAAAAAAAACAAAAACAAAAACAAAAAAAACCTTTACAGAGATGGATTTTCCTCTGGGTGCAGGTATCTCTGAATATACCTCAGCCTTCCCCACCTGGCTATGGCACATGGATTTGAGAGTACTGGAAAGTAGAATAGCATGAAAAACTTAATTCTGTGGACATTACCTTTCTGTAACCAGCTGCTGTATGTTTTTTTGGGAAGGGGGGGGTGCTTTTCTCTGGAGGTATGCACTGACCTGCTCCTCCTGTTCCTCCACGCACGGTAACTCCCAACGTGAGCAGTGACTCCCACCATACTTCACTCCCGGTATTTTTTTGAGCTGTTTGTATAAAATGGAATTTCCAAGTCACCCATGGTTGTCTATGAACTGCAGAGGAGTTTAGTAATAAAAACACAAACCCAACACCCATGTTTTGTAATAATCGGGGTGGGAGAGGATGGGGATGGAAAAAACCCAAACCCTGGCAAACGTGAGCTGCTCAAGTTGGATTTTCCTTTGGTTTCTAATGGTGGAAGTATTCTGTTGCGGGAAGGTGTTCCATTGGATTTTCTCTGCTGCCAAATGCACTTCCCAACACCCATCACACCGTGTGGTTTTTAACACAGAAATGTTTTTTTAACAGACATTGCACAAAAAAAAAAAATCTTGGTTATGTTTCAGTCAATGCACATGTTTACCTGCCTTTCTCCTGTCCAGCTCCCTTCTGTTTCCCCTTCCCAGCAGGAGCAGTGAGGGCATGGTGCTTTTTTCCCAGCTGTTCTATCCATCACCACTCCTCAATTCCCAGCATGTCGCAGCCAATATCTGGAAAAAAGGCTCCAAGCCTTTCCCTGCTCCTTCCTTTCCAAAACACGGTGCCTGGTGTCCACTTTCAAGCGACAGCACTGCCTAAAGCAAGCAGAGAAAACAAAATCCAACACCCTTCTACAAGCAACTTTTTAAAACTCAGCCTGGTAAATCTGTTCCATATGGAGGTTTTGTGTGTGTAAATATATACATATATACATATATATATATATAAAAAGAGAATTTTGTACAATGCAGCTGAATATTTTTGTTTCCTTCTTTCACTCTAAGGAGGGGGAACAAGTGAGCAGTCAGGGATGGCCCAGTGAGGTCTCAGACCACCTTTCCTTCAGGTGTGGTCTACTGGGGTCCCAGACGAGCTTTCCTTCCCGAGTGTCCCAGCTGTTCTGTGTTTTATGGACTAGAAACCCAAAATCTTGGACTCCTCCCCTTTCCAGAAGGCAGCTTGGCCGTGATCTCCAGCACTCAGGTAACACTGGGAGGGCTGATGGGCTCCCACCTTGCCAACTCCTAAATCCACATTCGCCCTCTCAAGCTTCACTTTACCAAGGTGGTGAGCATCTGCAGCTCCCACTTAATCCCAAATATTGGGCTTTTGGAGACCAGCTTTCCACATCCAGGCCAGGGAGATGTCAGCTACAAATCATGAGTGAGAAATTGAGACCTCCAAGGTTCAGATCCCTTTTCTAATCTGGGGTTGGTTTTGGTAAGGGAGAAAGTGGTGTGGAAATTCACAGTTAATTCAGGAGGTGATTTAGGGAAAGACTTTAAGGACTCAAGGACATCCTTACCTAGTACGCTGGGACATGGGAGCAGCAGGAGGTGGTTCAGCTAAAATCAGCATCACAGAGCAGCAAGTCCTTGTCCTGCTTGGTCACCATGGAGGTGGGATGTTCTGGGGGGTCTTCCCAAAGTACATGCAGTTTTTGGATAAGATTACACAAGTTTGGTCACAGACCCTCCCTCCCTCTCTCTTCCCTTCAGTGTTCCAAGGTGACACAAATCCCAAGAGAACCTGGTGGGAACCACTTACATCTTAACCCTCTCTGCCCAGCATCACTTTAAGTTAAAAACAATTTTAGGAGAAGATTATAAATCTCTAGATCCAGGTTTGGTGCAATCCCTCCCTGTGACAGTGAGGAAGATGAGAGTAATCCCAGCGCTTGGGTTTATCCTCTCTCTTTGGAGGCCATCCCACAGCGGTTATTTTGGGAGCTTGGGGTTTTTTTTTTAGTCAGATTTCTTTCTTGTGTGTTGCCTTTGCTCCTGTGAGGTCCCGTCCCTGAAGAGATAGAAGTGCCCATGGAAGGGGGGAAGCTCCAGTGTCATTCCCGGACATGCTTACGCTACAATTTTAGGGGGATTTACGCCTTGTTTATGGAAAGAGCAGCTTTGCTTTAAATTGAGAGTGCCCTGGGTTGGGAAATGCTGCTTACCCTGGAGGTGGTGTCGCCTTGCCAGCTCTGTCCCTATCTGGGGGACCCTCGGAGGCTGCTGTTCCCACCTGACACAGGGACAGGGATAGGTCTCCCCAGGTTTAACACCAGCCCTCAGCACCAAACATGCGAGAGCCACAGCCTTCAGCTGAGACCGGAGCAAAAAAACAGAGAAAGTTGCTTATTCCATGAATTCCCATTGGAGTGGGAACAGCAGAAACCCAGGCTGCCCTCACAGACCTGGCCTGGGGAGAATCCCAGTGCTGCCAGAGCAAAGCAGCCCAGCCTTTCCATAACCTCCGGGCAGCTGGGGAAAGGGAGGTTGTCTCGAATTGCCCACCCCAAAAATCCCAACTTTTCCACGAATCCGGGCAGAAAGAGCCGCCACAGCTGAGGGGGGAAGCACATTCATCATTTATTGACGGTGCCCAGGACGGGCTGCGGTAGCCTGCGGGAATATCGCGGCACACACCACGCGGAGGGAGACGTCGGGTGCCTGAGGGGGGAAAAAGCCTTTTTTTGTCGGGAGGCAGGGAAAGGCTCCTGCCCCTGCCAAAACCCTGGGAGCAGGGCAAGCGCCAGCGTCGTGCCGCGACACCCGGCGTGTCTCAGCGCGGAGCGGTCGTGTGGCTGCCGTCCCACCGGGAATTCAGTGCCCCAGGGCTGGCGTGGATGGGGACGGCGGCGGGGCCGGAGCGCGGGAGCCGTGAGGGGAAGGGCCCCGCCGCTGCTGCGCCTCCCGCCGCGGCCGCGCCGCCGCTGCCCTGCTGGCGGCATTCCTGCGGGGTTCGTGGGAGGGAGGGAAGAAACGGAAAGAAGGAAGAGGTGAGGAGGAAGGCATCGCCCCGCCAGGGCGTTGGAGATGCCGCTTTGTCCCGCGTACCTCTGCGTCAGCCTGTGGATGACCAGCTGGATCCAGGGCGCCTCGGGGGCCACGCACACCCTCTTGTTTTTCTTCAGGGTGAGGCTGCAAGGCCACAAGACCCCTCAGCCCCCTCGCACGCCCCTTCCCCAAAGCTTTTCCAACCGACAGAGGAAACTCCCCAGCACGGATATGAGCACACCTTGGACAGCAGGGAGGTGGGATTTTTGGGCCGTGACCCAAAAGAGCCACACTGAAGGGAACCCCCTTTAAAACAGGCAGCGGCGGCCCTGCGCCTTGCAAGAGCCACCCCGACATTTGGGAGCTTCAGAGAGGACGCAAGCAGCCACAACTCGCAGGAATTGCTTCCCAGACTTTCCACTTACATGATCTCCTTCCTCCGGCAGTGCAGACCAGGCGGCGCGACGTCAATGGTGAGGATCAGTCCCAAGTTGATAACCTGGGCGGTCGATTTGATGCACTTGCACCTCATGTTGGTCAGCAGGCTCTCCAGCGACAGACCTGCGCCCCAGAGCAGCCCACACCAGCTCTCAGCCCCCCGAAGGGGAGGCAGATGGGGGGGACATCCCACTCCCCATTATCCCATCCCAGACACTCATGGGGTCACTTGCAGGGACGGGCTGGTGTTAATGGGGTCTGCAGCAAGGCTAATCCCTCCCAGCACAGCCTCTTTTCTTGTGCGTGGAGGGCGTTTAGCGGCAGGGTTTGAAAACTTAACCAATATTTTATGAATTAAACCCACTGCCCACCCACCAAGCACTCATGTTTCACAGGGGTTTGGAAGAGAAGCAACTTAAACCCATGAAACAAATCCCCCAGTCCCAGGCATCCCCCTCCAGCTTAACCACAGGATTTAAAAGATAAACTCAAGCTCAAAGGCAGGCGAGAGACAAATTTGAAAGATAAGCTCAAAGACAGGCAAGAAACAAATTTGAAAGCTTAGCAGAGCCCACACTCAGCCCCATCTGGGACACCCAGTGCCACTATCCAGGTATTTGGAGAGGGACACAGACATCCCAAAGCCACTCACTGCCCCCAGGCACCAAGTTGCTCAGGAGCAGGAGCAGGGCCAGCGCTGCCAGGAGCAGCCTCATCCTTGCTGCCCACCCCGAGCCAACGCAGGGGCTGCCTTATAGCCAGCCCTGAGGGGATTTCACAGGCTGGGAAGGGCCTGAGAGGGAGGAAAAAGGAGATGCCCCCATGCTTCAACTTCCCTGCCTTCGCTTCCCCCCATCACACGTGGCCCATGAAAAAGGCGGAAACCGCCACGGCCGCCTCCTAAAACCTCCTGCTCGCCCCATGTTTTTGGGGAAAGGCTGGTGCCCCCATGCCCCTGCTGCCCCCTGAGCACCCCGCGCCCCCAGAATGCCACAGGAAGGGATGCAAGGGACGGTAACCTCGGGCTGCCACCTTTATTGGGCCTGTTGGGTTGTGCTCAGAAAGGACCCCCAGCGCATGGCCACGGGGTGGGAGGGGAGGGAGACAGGGACTGGCATGGTCAAGGGTTTAAAGGCATAAAATGTCGAGGGAAAAGGGTCTCAGGGGATCAGGCGGGAGGACGCTCCCCCTCTGGACTGGGGTAAAGTGGCAGCAGGATGGGGAGGGGGGGCAGTTCTGGGTCCAGCACATCTGGCCATCCCTCCCGTGGCAGCTTCCTCAGCGGGGACGCTCTTTCTTCCTCCTACCAAAAGCAGAAGGCGAAAGGAACGTGTGAAGACAGGTCCCCACGGGATGCCCCTGGTCCTGCCAGGAGCCCTGTGTGCTCAGGGGGAGTGGAGGGGAGGTCTTACAGCTGAGGGAGGTACTGCAAGAGTTTCTTCACCCAAGGGGTGTCAGGATCCAGGCAGACCGTCTGCAGGGATTTCAGCTTAATCCTAGAAAACACACAGGCTTTCAGCACCGTCACTTCCCCCTCCTGCAGTGGAGGGGTTTCAAGCCGCCGAGCCCCCCACCCTTCTCATAAAAATGAGCGTGACACTGAAGTAATTCAGGGAATATGGGGGGACTGGGAGGCTCACATAACCCCCGGGACGCACTTACACCACCTCGAGGCGCTGGCAGCTGCTCCCCACGGGCCGGACCTCGATGCTGTGGTATTTCTCCGGGGGGATGAAGGCTCTGGTGGTTTTGCGGCAGCGGCAGCTCAGGTTGCCATTGGCTTCTAGGAGAGCTGGAGGGGCACGCGGCCGCGGCTCACCCATCGCCCAAAATCCCACTGCCATCCCCAAAGCCCTTCCTGTGCAACGCGTGTGCCCCCACATCTCACCGGGATCACCTGCTTTAAACCCTGGAGGCGGCAGGATAACATCCCCGAAAGACTCACACCCCCCCCCAAGGCCACCCGAGGGGAACCTCACCTGCGTCCCCGGGGCGGTGGGTCACCAGCAGCACCGCCAGCAGCAGGGCCGCCCACGCAGCCATGCCGGCCCCACCCTGGCACCGGAAGCGTCTCCCTATTTGAGCCGGAAAATAGGAGAAGTGAGGCGGCACGGGCGGCCCCGGGGTCGGGGTGGTTTTCGCCCGTCCCGCTCTGTGCTGACAGAGCTCGCTGAGCTTGCAAGTGCTGCCGGTCAAACGCGGCTCAGGGCTTGGCAGGGGGCCAGGCTTCCCGAAACTGGCTCCCTTTTTCCCTTCCTAGAATGCCGGGTCTTGTGAAGAGATCAGTTATTTCCCCCAAGTTTGTTCTTAGCCCACACAGCCCCACAAGCCCAGAGGTTTCTCTGTCCTGCACGATCTGATATTACTGTTTTCTCCCACAGCCACGTTGTCCCCCTACAAGGCGCAGCCCAGCAGAGCTCTGGTGACATTTGCTTTTGGTCTTTTCCCCCAGAACTGCCACGTGACCTCACACCCATTCCCTTTGGGCCTGGATTGATTTTTAAAGCCTTACAGCCGCCTGCAAACCCCAGCCCCATGGCAAACACCAGCACTTGGATGTGGGATGCATTGGCTGGATCCAGCTCCGTGCCAGGAACATCGTGGCCTCCAATCAGGACTCAGAGAAACAACAGGTTAGGATGGGAAGGACCCTCAACAAGGGGAAATAGTTTTACACTGACAGAGGGCAAGGTTAGATGGTATTTTGGGAAGAAGATCTTCCCTGTGAGGGTGGTGAGGCCCTGGCACAGGTTGCCCAGAGAAGCTGTGGCTGCCCCATCCCTGGAAGCGTTCAAGGCCAGCTTGGACCGGGCTTGGAGCAACCTGGGATAGTGGAAGGTGTCCCTGCCCATGGCAGGGGTATGGAAGGAGATGGTCTTTAAGGTCCCTTCCAACCCAAACTGTCCTATGATTCTATGTCCTATATTACTTCAAAGCTAGGAGATCCAGGGAAATACAACAGCAGGAAAAATCCTGAATTTTATTGGACTTGAGCTCTCGGGACAGGACACGCCACGCCATGCCACACAAACCCCAGACACACACTCTGTCGCTGAGCACTTTGCACAGGAAGAGTCACAAAGTCATTCCTAAAGAAGCAGGAGCAGCCCCTCACAGAGAACTGGCTTCACAGTCCACGGGCAAGTAAATAATTGAAGGATTCAGACTCACACTGATCCAGGGACCAAATGCAGGGGGATACACCCCCACAAACCCACCACGGGGCTGGGGCCAGCAGTGAGCCACCCTCCCTACAGGCACTGCCAGCGGAGCCGGACACGGGCGCTTCAGGAGGGGGGGAAGCGAGGGCAAAGTGAGGAGCAGCCAGGTCTGCACACCCGGGCATCGTTCACCAGCCCGTCTCGGGGCTCTGGGCATCAACTTCCTTAGCAGGAAACTTATTTTTTCTTCCTGCGAAAAGCAGAAGGAGGAGAAATGTGTAAATGCCGAGAAAAGCGGGTCCTGGGGGGAGGAAGCCTCTGCCCCAAGCGAAGGAAGTCACTGCGATTTCCCCAGGGTGGGAATCACTCGCTGGGACAGCCACAAACCCGGCAGGGGCACGGAGTGGGGCGGTTTCCCAGCCCAGCACTGATGCACTGCTGCACCTGCAACGAGCCAACCCTGCTCCTGCCATTGCTCCCCACCTTTTTTTTTTCCTCTAAAATGTTTTTGGAGATGCAGCACTGTGCATATAAGCCAGGGAGAGCATGACCCGTGGACGGGTCGTGTGGAACTTGCACAGCAAAGAGTTGCCCCTCACTGCCTTGGGAGCGGGTCCCTTGGCCACCAGCAGCCCCCCAAGAGCCCCCCAGATCCACAAGCGCTTCTCAGGAGTGCAGATGTGCTGGAATGCTGTCCAAGGCCACCTGAGCCAAAGGGGTTTCCGTCAAAGCAACTCACGTGCCAGCGATACGCTTCAGCAGCTTCTTTACCCAAGGGGCTTCGGGATTCACACACACCTTCCCTGCAGCTCTTAATTTAATTCTGAAACGCAAGGAGAGCTCCTGAGCATTCCTGTCCCCTCCAAAGGCAGGGATTCGAACAGCCAGAGCTGATAGGCAAGAGTCAGCTTTCGCTCACAGTGCCAGAGAAAGCAGCCAGAGACAGAGGAAGCTACGGGATGGCCAGGAACAAGGAAAAGGCAACACATTCCCATACGGAGCAGAGACTTGAAGACCAAAGTATGGTTCAAACACAGTTTTTTTCTGGAGATTTACAAATGTATCAGTGCTGAGCAGTTAAAGAATTCTGGGAAAATTAGTTATGGCTCAGCATTTAAAGATGTGCTCTCTCTAAGCTGCAAACAACCCCCTCTCCAGCACGCTCCCTGCTAAGCACCAGCATGAGGAAATCTCACTTTCCCTGGCTGGAAACATTCCTTTGGGTCCTGTAGCAGGTCGCCTGGGGTGCATTTCCACATCTCATATTTCTCAGGGAGCAAGCCAGCAGCAGCTTTGGAAAGGTTTCCAGCAAGGCAGCGTGGAAGCAGGATGGCGGCAGAAGCACAGCACTTACATGATCTCCGTGCGCCTGCAGGTGCTGCCCACGGGCCTTATCTCAATGCTCTCATATTTCTTGGGACTGATGTAGTCCGAGGTTGTCTTGGCACACCTACAGCTCAGGTTCCCGTTCACCTCCAGGATGGCTGGGAGAGAGAGAGGGGGGCAACTTACAGACCCAAACCGCGCCATAAGAGATGCAGCAGCTCCGAGAGCCAAAGGAAGTTTCCCTTTCCATGTTTTCACTGACAGCACTGTAGGGACCACAGTAAGAAGCTGTGCCTCTGCCTCAGTTCTCTGCTCCCACACAGCTCCTGAAAGCTGAACCAGACCCTGGCAAAGGACGGTCACATTTCTCCCTCAGCTAAACAGGCAGGAAGATCCCAGTCTCCTCCAGTCCCTGGATGCGGGTGATGCCCACCCACAGCAGGGAGCTGACAGCAAAGCCACCCGGAGCTCACCTGCGTGGGCTGAGCGGGACATCACCAGCAGCAGCAGCAGCCACGGGAGCACAGGGGCTCCCATCCCTGTCCCAGCCAGCACTCGCATCCTTGCGGCAGGACCGGCCCCGGGGACGCTCTGAGGAGCCGGGCGCACAAACACCCCTATTTATTCGGGAGGGTCACACGCCGCCTCAGGCACAAGGTTCACACTTGAGCAGTCAACAGCCAGCCAGCAGAGCATGGAGAGGGGTGACATCATTTCTCGGCTGCTCCCACAGCCGCCTCAGGGGCTGAATTGACAACATTATTGATCGAGACCTGCCACTGGGACGAGGTGCAGATTTGGGTTCCCCACACCCTGTTTGTGTTGGGTCTGTGCTCATAACACCCTTCGCTCCCTTGAGCATTTACCCCTCAACCACACAAAAAAGCCCAGAACAAAACCAGAGCGCCAGCCCTGGCTGAGCAGGGGGAGTTTAATGCACTCAGACATTTACATATTTCTTTCTTAGGGCTGTATTTCCCCCACGCTATTTTTGCTGCCTCTTTCATCAGCAAAAACGCCTCACCGTGGAAAAATAATCAAGATCTCTGCTCTGTTCCCACTTAGATCCTTCAGATCTCATGCTTGGCTGGACTAGTAACACACCCAGGGTGGCCACAGCAGCATCCCATGTCCGTGGATGTCAATGGGACAGGGGCTGCCCTGAATAAAGTCTGCAAAGTCACCAGCCAGGAAGCCAAAGGGGAAGGGGACAGGCGAGGAGGAAGGAAGAGGGCACAAGAAAAGTGATGTGGTTCGTGTGATAATGTTGTAATTTGGAGCTTTCAAATTGCATCAGCATTTTATATAGTAACAAAATGGTACATTTAAAAAAAAAAAAAGAAAAAAAGAAAAAGAGTCTTCCACTCAAGCTACTCATCTCTCTCTGAAAACCTGGTTTTTCCTCTAAGTCCAAAAGTCTTGTGAAGACCTTGTTCAAGAGATCAAGGTCAAAAATAGATGATTGAGTTTAACTCCCTGTACACCAGGGTCATGGAGAGGCCAGGGAAAATTTCCACGGGCTATTCCCCAAGTCCTACAGAAGGAACAAGCACCTTGCTGTCACAGCAGTGAAAAAGGACATGGCCTTAAAACTGCTTTTTGTTCAGTCCTTTCAGATTTAAATTTCCTTGCAGAGAGTTATTAGAAGCCCAACCTAGGCCTGGTTTTGCTGGGTTGTGGAAGGGTTCTCTTGGAAAAAAAATGGTGGGGAAGGCAGCGATTCACTGGGAGAGATGACCAGTCACCCCTTCCTAGATGCCAGGAATTCAGAAGAGGGGCCCTCACATATCGATCTGTGGCCTCATCCAGGCCAGCATCAACACGTACAAAACATCCTCACAGCTTCTCTATTTCCTGCAGCAGCTGCACCACCTTCGCAGGCAAGACTTTTATTTCAGTCATTTTTTATCTTACTTTTATTAGACTTTTATCGAATTTTTTACACCTGTTGAATCCTTCCCCCGGCATCTAAATCACAGCCAAAATTTTTCAGCCCGTTCCTCCCTTCCCCACAACTCACCCAGGGCTCCTTGCAGGAGAAAAAAAAAAACAAAACTATGGGGTTTTTGTGTTTTAAATTTCCCCCCAAAAACCCCAACCGCAGTGAATCTTCACTGCTGCGGTTTGTGGTCCTGTACCTGCTTCAAAGATAAAGATGCCTCCTACCGAAACCTGAAACCCACACCTCTTTCAGCCTCAGTGTGAGAGCACCAGAATAAGCCAAAACCTAACGAAATCAGTCCAAAATTAGGTTGGTTGAGCAACCTGTAGAGCTTTCTGTCACGTACTGTCTTCAAGCCAAGGTGAACAGACTTGCTGGTGATGCAGCGTGGGGACAAAAATCTCGGTTTGGGCTCATTTTTGGTGACAGCAGAGCAGTGACACCTCTGCAAGCAGGTGAGAAACCTGCTACAGCCATTTTTAAAACCATTTGGTCTGCTTGAGGGCCAAACAGGGAATACAGTGCAAGGGAGCTTTCAAAGAGATGGGATAAGGCAGAAGGATAAAGGCTCCAAGCGGGAACCAGAGGAACTAAGGATAGTTTTGAGAACTGCCAATGTGACATTCCTGCCTCCCCAGTCAATCCTGAACCAAAGGAGCTCTGTGGAGCAGCTTTCCGTGGCAGGGACAGCTGCAGTAGGTGTTGAGCAGCATGTCAGCACGAGCCCTGGAGCAGTTTTTGGGACATCCCGGCCGCCTACCCCAGAGATGCAAATGGCACCGAGCGAGCCCAGGAGAAAAGCCCCGGACTGCTGTGCCAACTTGCACTAGAAAAGCACCGTGGGGAGCACCCCGGCGCCCCACAGCCCTGCTGAGCTCTCGCTCTGTTTCTGACCCGAGTCAATCCGAAACGCCGAG